CTAGAGAAGCTTTTCGCTGAGGATAAAGTTGAATTATCGTTGCTGAAACAAATCAAGCAGCCCACGAATATGAAATGATAGTGGCCATGTTATTGGTCAATCCACGACCAGGGGTTTTATAAAGTATTTACGAAACCTGTGCATCTTCGTTTCCCTTAATCATGGTATTTATTTAAATATTTTATGAGCTTGAGAGCGCAATGCGACGTTCTTTGTAACAATAACAACTTGGGTCGTGAAGTTTAGAAACGCGTAAACTGTTGCAAATGTTAACAAAGCCGCCATAGTTAAAATAAGTAATTATCGAAAGAGGGCACCAAGCCGGGAAGGCTATGTAGCAACCGTAGTTAAAGAAAGATGTAGAGGTTTCGTCAGTGGTTGCTAGATGGTTGGCCCTGGACCTACTATCAAGCCCTGGACCTACTATCATCCCCTGGGCCTACTATCAACCCCCTGGGGCCTACTATCAACCCCCTGGGGCCTACTATCAACCCCCTGGGCCTACTATCAACCCCCTGGGCCTACTATCAAGTCCTGATAGTAAGTAGATCTACTGGCCCTGGACCCTGTCAAGTCGTGCCATAGCAGGAGTGTGTCAGTATATGGCAAGAGAGAGAGAGGAAGATGAGCTGACAGGAAGGTGAGGTCGTGTCATTTTCATTTCTTTTTTTTTTCTTTTTTTTTGTGATATATACAAGAGTTGTTACATTCTTGTACAGCCACTAGTACGCGTAGCGTTTCGGGCAGGTCCCTGGAATACGATCCCCTGCCGCGAAGAATCGTTTTTTCATCCAAGTACACATTTTACTGTTGCGTTAAACAGAGGCTACAGTTAAGGAATTGCGCCCAGTAAATCCTCCCCGGCCAGGATACGAACCCATGACATAGCGCTCGCGGAACGCCAGGCGAGTGTCTTACCACTACACCACGGAGACTGATTTCATTTCATATTCGTGGGTTGAGATGCATGGATTGTCACCATTACTTCCTGTGTTCCAGTAATCTACCTTTTGAAATCAGTATTTACCTTTTTGTTTCCCATTTCAATGATACACAACTTGTATATGGGTGGAGGAGATGTAAAGCTTTTGCACCTAGGCCTGGCTGTCGGTGTATACATATGGTAATTCATACATATACATACATATGATTTTCATTCACATGAATGTTTTGGAGCCTGGGTTAAACAGTCATGTGAGTCTGTCATCAATAGGATCAGAAACCTTTCAGCCTGAGACAGAAATAGAAACCAATTATAATTCAAATTGGGGAATGTTTTTAGATTTAAAGAATAAACACTGGTAAATATATATATATATTTTGGGGGAATAGGTTCAGGTTGTAGTTTTGTAAACCAATGACAGTCTTTTTTTTCTTGTTATTATAATGTTTATTGAAACCTTTTGTTTTTCAGGTTTTAATTCAATTCTCCTTAAAACTCTCTAAGCTTTCTTGCAGTTCCAGTAATACTTCGATTCTAATGCGTTTTTCCTTACTATTATCGACCTTGTTAATAAAAATAGGAATTCCTCATTAATTTATTGCAATAAATTTTTAACTTTGAATTGACAGTTTCAAGTTCCTATTTCATTCAGTTTGTACATAAATATGTTGGTTGTTTGGTACATCTATATTCTGAAGCTGCGTTCGAATGGGTATTACTAATATTTTGTTAATTACAATAGAACAATAGGGTTATATCAGAGGTATACTTTGGTATACCTCTGGCGATGGTATACTTTGCTTTACAAGTCAGGTAAAATGGTCGCACTGGTTTATTAATATCATGTAAATGGAAATAAACTATTTTGTTTATACGAATTGAAATTGTCAATTCCACGTTAAAACTATATTTAAATGAAGAATTCCTATTTGCCAGACCTTATTAGCAGTTAAATTAATTTGCATGATAATTTTGGCAAAAGTTTAGATGAGTTTTTTTTGTGACTGTTTCGTGATAAACGAGTGTCCAAAGATAAGTCAGATGCTTGGGGCTGGCCTCACCTGACTTAGCCGGGGGAATGGTCTGGGGTATGGGCCGGACATAGACAATCTCCTTTGGAGATTTTAGTGATCGTAATAATATATTTTCTGACAGCCACACACAATTGTTTCAATGCTTTTAAATAATTTTAGAGGGAGAGGAGGAGATGAAAGAAGTGACAAGGGAGATGGGTGGGGAGAGACCCGTATGTAGCCGGGTACCCTTTTATATAATATATATATATATATATATATATATATATATATATATATATATTAATGTGTGTGTAAATCACGACAATTAACACGTGATAAAAAAAGTGAGTGTGAGACCACGAAGGAAGAATTGAAACAGGAATTTCCTTAAGTACTTTCGTATATTAAATACATCTTCAGAAGGTCCAACCTTCTGAAGATGTATTTAATATACGAAAGTACTTAAGGAAATTCCTGTTTCATTTTTCCTCCGTGTTCTGACATTGTCATATATATATATATATATATATATATATATATATATATATATATATATATATATATATATATATATAATGATAGTGGGGAGAGGAAGAAATAATACCACTCCTCCCTAACACCTTCACACGTAAAAGTACACAGTTTTAAAAGGAAATAAAAACACACAACTTTCCAACTACAATAAAAACCATCTTTATTGACCAGCAACATGTGTATATATATGTATATAAGACAGGTCGAGTAGGCTGGTGTGAGAGTCAGGCCTATAGCCTACAACAAAGAGGAAAAAAATAATGGTTTGACCTGCGAGTACACTTCCTGCCCTCCTGGAGCGGATATATTGACCTCACTATCCACTCCCAGGAGTCCCCTTAAATGGTCATCATGCTATAGGGCATTAATACCTCCTCACACCACCCTGCAGATACCTCATATAAAATATGTTTTCAGTAATATATTACTATATACCTTTTGTACACGGATCAAAGGCCAGCAAGACGTATTTTGGTTACAAAACTAAATTACAAAATTGCTTGTATTAACGTCTTGCCTCCTGAGCCTTGTATCCTAACACGCAGGACGTTTTTTTTTATTTGTTTACGTTTTAAGAACGTAATGTAGTTGCTACACCACTGTGGCTACTGTATGTGCGTTTGCTGGGACGTCAACGCCCCGCTAGGAGCGACATCAACAAATAATATTTACAAATAACCATAACTAATGAGATCTGAATCCTGTGGCCACAGAAATGTATAGAAAATGTACGTATATAGTATGGATCAATGTATACGTATATACATTTACGCCAGATAATGAAGTCTGAATACTAGGCTTGAAAAGTTGAGTTAACACGTTGTTTAAGAGCCTCTTCATTGATGACGGGGCGCTCTATATATACATATATATATATATATTATATATATATATAAACTTGTAAATATTTCAGGAAATAAAGGTACAATATCCTACAACCCTCATACAAATGTGAACATTAGTTAGCCAAACGTGACCAGACCACGGCATGGCCCTGACAAGGCCATTACAGTCACGTCTGTGGTAGCGCTCCTTACTTGGATGTTTAGAGCAAAAATCCACAGACTGCTTTACCACGAACAGCATTAATTCACAGTATTGTGAGAACCATCGCTTTTAGTATTATTTAAAGTAAGTACATTCACAGCGGCTCATCTTTAAAAAGTTTGTAGCAGGTCCCACAATACAGAACCTCCATCATCATGGGACCCCCCATCACCACAATACAGAACATCATCATGGGTCTCCAACACCATTGAAAACCATACTACACAAGTAGCCTAGTTTCAACATTGACCTAAACTCGACAACATTTCCTACCCAGATACCATCCGTTCAGTGGCGTTCCCATTTTTATTTATATACAAGAAGGCACATTGGGTTTATGAGAGTGCATAGCATTGATGACTTTACTTTCTTGTAAAGCCACTAGCACGCTTGCGTTTCGGGCAGGTTCCTTTTATTTATTGCTAACTTGGACTGGTTGTAAACCCCAAACATACATTTACAGAATATATTTCTTGATTTATGATTGATATCAAATCATGTTGCTCTGTGAGGAACATTGTTCAATATGAACACCAAGAAACACACAAGTTTACTGGATGGGAGCTGCTTTACGTTTATAATAGAAACGAAGAACATTACTTGGTTTACAATTTACAATAAGTGGTTTACAATATCAGTAGCACCATTTGATGTGTTGTACCTAATAGCCAGAACCTCGTCAGTATGCCTAGCAGAGCTAGAACCATTTTGCCTAGCAGTTAAAAGCGATTTTACGCGTCTTTCAAATATTTGACAATTTGACCGATCTTCATTATATTTCCACTGCATTAGTTTCATGAATTATAAAACGAGTTAGGCTTTGGTTTTGCAAATGTTGAACAGTATTGATGAATAATCCGTGTATTTATACTTGATCAAGCTGCTTATATAGTTCTGGTTCTAATTAAATTGAAAATTTATTCTTGTCCATGAAATTAAATATATACAAATCTAATACACAAATTATACTCTGAAGAAACCAATTTTTAACGAAATTTTGCTGATCAATCAACTTTGGCTATTAGGTACAACTTATAAAATCATGAATGTAACTTATGATTAATAACTAAGGTTCATCAAGTTATGAACTACAAATTACCAACAATGCCACGGAGCGCGCACATGACAACAGAATACCTCAAAAAACAAACAAAAGAGAAACTGCCGAATAATCCACAACAGACTAATGCATCAAAGTTATAGTGGTACATGAGCATCGTGTATGTGTGTGTGTGTGTGTGTGTGTGTGTGTGTGTGTGTGTGTGTGTGTGTATTCATCTAGTTGTGCTTGCGGGGGTTGAGCTCTGGCTCGTTCGGCCCGCCTCTCGACTGTCAATAATTGCTTTTTCTCGCGCGCACACCCCCAGGAAGCAGCCAGTAACAGGTGTCCAACTCCCAGGTACCTATTTACTGCTAAGTAGCAGGGGCATCAGGATGAAAGAAACTCTGCCCATTTGTTTCCGTCTGAGCCAGGTGTCGCACCCCGGTCCACAGGACTAGGTATCCAGCGTCCCGTCCACTCAGCCACCAGGCGCCCTCCCAACTAACCCTACCCTAACTGTGTGTGTGTGTGTGTTTTACGTTTTTGGGGTTTGTCAAAATTTGGTGGAGCGCTTCAACTTTGTTTCCAGCCAAATATTGGGTCATTTCACGTTTATTTTTTTTCCATAGCGTGGTTGATCCTAAGGCATCTCTAATGTTATTTACACACGGCAGCAAAATACTCTTTCATGACAATTGTTATCAAACTCACAACACATAAGCGGGTTCAACATGCTCGCTCTGCAGTACATTACGCAAAGTGAACAAAAAAACATTTGGTCGTTCAGAGTTGAGCACGCATTGAAAACCTGTTCAATATCAATTTAAAACAACATTAAAGGCATACAAAATTTTCGGGTAGTGCACATTCTTGCTCACCTGTGGTTACCTGAGTATCTTTGGATCCTTTGTGACACTCAGATTGACACCATCTTACTTATGGTATAGTTCTTTCGTCTCTGAAATCAGATTGTGTTGACAGTCAGACCTCAGATGGAAATGCGGTTTAAATCCTACACATGGGATTTTGTTTTCCAGTTTTTTTTCTAATTTAGGAACTTCTATGTGAATCACTAGAATTGGCAAAGTTAGGATAGGTTTTGCTGGGATAGGTTAGGTTAGCTTGTAGTTAGATCAGGTAGATTTGGTTGGGTAGGGTTATATCAGGAAGGTTAGGTTTGTTAGATCAGGAAAGCTTAGCTTAGCTTAGTGATTAGATCAGCTAGGTTTTAATATCTGTTGAGGGGAACCATCTTAATATAACAAGTGACGTGTTCCTCCTCACAAGGTTGACTGACAACTCCGCACCCATCTTCCACCAAGAGCGTCTTGCTCCACAGGTACACCAAGAGCAGAGTACTGCACCCAGTGGAAAGACTAGAATTCCACATTTTATCACAGCAGTTTTGAGAACGAGTGGCCGGCATGCTGGAACACCCTGAGGACGTCGCTGCTCTAGGGAGGAGAGAGAGGGAGACTGAGGCGTGCTCACAAACAGTATTCGACTGCTGGACCAACACGACGGAAGAAATACGTCTTTCTTCTTTGTCCTGGAAGAAAAGGGCGGGACAGAGATTCAGCCAAAGCGAGAAATATCCTTTACTTCAACGACTAAAGCGAAATGTTCATTATATACACATGAAAAGAAAAGAATGACATGTTTTTGTAACTTACCAGAAGGAAAATATTGCTGCGTGAAGACGTAAATCACATATTTTCAAGAGTTTGGTCAAAGTTTGAGATCATTATCATCCGGTGATGCTCGTCCTCCGTGCTTCCTCACGCAGTTCGTTGAGCCGGTGATCCAATGGTTTTGTTACAGTGTACCGTAAGTGCTCGGAGGGTCGGTGAAGCGGCAGAGTCCAGCTCGCCAAAGAGCAAAAGTGTGAGCAAATAACAGGGAGACGACGCTCATCTTGTCGGGTCTCCCAGGGAGTAAGATGCCTCTAGAGCAGGACGAAGCCAAGCCGACGACGAGGCCGGAGATAAATTTTCTATCTGAAGAGGTTGGTAAGAAATCTGTAAACTTTCAACTAAAGAATCGATGCCGTCGTCCCAGGCTGGTTGAGATCCGTCGTATCCGCCGAAGCCCGATGGTGTCGGCGGTGTGGCCAACTCTCGCTGTGTAGAGAGCTCTGGCGCCTCGCAGTCAGTGTTCGCCCACAGGTCGATGTCCGAGCTCAGATTATGGAAATCGAAGGAAAGATCCGGTGACAGCGGTACCAAATCCTTCATTCCAATATTATCTAAATCGGCAAGAGTTGGTGGATCTTCTGAAATCGGTTCACAGACTTCTTTAGTTACAACAGAAGCGCTCAAAAGATCATCCGGCCAAGAGAATGCTACTTCAGCTGCCCCAATTTGGAGGCATAACTGACTGGAAGAATGTTCGAACTTCGCATCCCAGCTGAAGACGTGCGAGGAACGTTCTTCGAAGGTGCTGGCACTCTCTGGAGAGTCCGGAAAGTCGTGAGGGCTGGAAGGCTGTTGGGTGTTGTGGAGTGGCAGACCAGTTTGGTCTTCCTGTGGGGCTGCGGGAGACCTCTCAGGAGTACCTATCCTTGCCAGATTTCTAAGACTGGAACCAAGAAGACATTCTCTCATCTTACTGACAGTGACGGCGTTGGCTGGAAGCGAATGAGAAGTCGCCGAAGACCTCGATTTACAGACCCGCCCACCGCCGCCAGCCGCCACGCCCCTCAGGGCATCGCCGCTTCTCCCAGCTGATGAGAGCGAGGGCGGCTGGCAACTCCGCGAGTTCTTCTTCCTCGGGCGGTACTTGTAGTCTGGGTATTCCAGACGATGGAGGATCTTGAGCCGCTGGGCCTCTTCCCGGTAAGGTTTCCGCTGCTCCTCCGTCAGGAGCTTCCAGCGGCGCCCCAGCTGTTTGGAAATCTCTGCGTTATGCATATCAGGCGTCTGGGAGACTATGAGCCGGCGCTCCAGCTGTGACCACACCATGAAGGCGTTCATGGGCCGCTTCACGTGGTTAGGTGGGTGCTTCTTTGTCTGTCAAAGAGGAGAAGATCATTGACAGGAGGGATATATTGATGACAAAAGTTTATATGTGTACAAATCACACACAAATCACAATAGCGTGATGTATCAAATGAACAAATCCACAAGGGATTTGACCATGTCGTAGCTCAGTCGATTAAGGCAGCGTCTGGGATGCTCCCGGACGCAGGTTCGAATCCTAATAACGGCCTTTGTGGATTTGTTCTTATGTGTAACATTTAGACATTACTGACGGAAACTCTTAAACAAGTTCCCATATAATTACGAAGATCATTTTTATGATTATTCAAAAAGCAAAATTTATCTTGTTGCTAGTGTTGCATTGCAACGACTTCTTCTTTTATCCCCTTTACAAACACGTATGGCAGAAAAGGAAGAAAAAGTGGAAAACAAATCACAGAGAGAAATTGAAGCTGCGGGGACAGAAATATATACAATTGGGGCAATAAATGACATAATAAATGACGTCAGGGCGCCTGACAGCTTCGGATTCGAATTCCGAAGCGTACAGCGCTTCGGATTCGGAGTTCTGAGGTTCCGGGTTCGATCCCCGGTGGAGGCGGAGACAAATCGGCAAAATGTTTATTTCACCGTGATGTCCCAGCTGTTACCTAGCAGTAAATAGGTACCTGGGAGTTAGACAGCCGCTACGGGCAGCTTCCTGGGGGGTGTGTAACAAAGAGGAGGCCTGGTCGAGGACCGGGCCGCGGGGACGCTAAGCCAAGAAATCATCTCAAGATAACCTCAAGATGGGGACAATAGAGGAGAATAGAAAGTAGTAGTGGCAGTAGAGGAGACAAAGGCGGTGATAAAAGAGGAATTAATCGTTTCAGAAGAGAAATTAATCGTTTCAGAAGAAGAGAATGTCGTGGTTTCTTTACTATTTTAGGCCTAGGGTAGAATAGGTTTATTCTGCCATAACATTTGCGCAGTAGTATAGGCCTCCCTTTGAGGAGTAGGGGGGGGGGGTGTTTTACTTCTTAAGGGGCTTCAGAAGTAATGAAGCCAGTAGAGAAGGTAGAGGTTTGAGAAGAGGTTTCACCGTAAGGACCAACATAGGTGTGAGAGGGAGAGAGACCCAAGTTTGGAGCACTGTGTTAGCACATGTTCAAAACTCGACAAATACACACACAGGCGCACTTACATAAAAAAAGTACACTCCAACCACTTGGGCTGGACCGGTAGAGCGACGGTCTCGCTTCATTCGGGTCAGCGTTCAATCCCCGACCGTCCAAGTGGTTGGGCACCATTCCTTCCCCACCATACCATCGCAAATCCTAATCCTGATCCCTTCCCAGTGCTATATAGTCGTAATGGCTAGGTGCTTTCCTCTGATAGTTCCCTTTCCTTATTCCTTTCAACTCCCTCCATCGCCCCCCCCCCACCCCCGACCTAAATTCTAGGCCTATATTCTGTTATATACACACGAACGCTGTCATATACACACGAACGCTGTCATATACACACGAACGCTGTCATATATACACGAACGCTGTAATATACACACGAACTAGCCCGTTCTATTGATTTAACACCATACAAAATGCTCAATACACTGTACTATAACTATACTATAAAGTACGACATTTATCTTCCGTGGTAGTGGGTTAAGTGCTCAATAATTCACTACACTATATGTAAGAGAATAGATCTCTAACCCTGTCCATGGAGGACATCATAAAATGTTTATATGCTTGATTAACATTGAATAAATGAATGGCTGCATCATCTACAATGGAAAATAACCTATAAAAGAACAGAGTGGTAATTTCTATTAAAAATCTGAGGTATTAGGCAGGTTGCGCGCGCACACACACACATACAAGAACACAATAGCATAATTTTTGTCCTTTTCTTTTAAGGAAGCTTCCTGTGTTGGGACTCAGCTTCTGCTTCGTGGGTGAAAGCCAGTATCAACAACATGGGAACTGACGTCCCCGAATTGCGGTTATAAATTGCTGTGTTACAATGTTTTAGTGGTTGTTGCAAATCGCATGTTTATCATGCACAAACAGTTATGTATCTTTAGCAAATATATGGCATGTAGATGAAATTCAATTCGTTTTATCATATGACATTGGAGTCCATGTTGTGTGGCCGCTATACTTGAGACAAGGCTAGCCTAGCCTAGCCTAACCGGTCTTAGTGTAACCTAGCTAATTTAGCCTAGCCTATTCTTGTGTAATCTAACCTCACCTAGCATATCTTAGTCTAGCCTATTAGATAATTGTAATCAGGATAATTTTATAACGTCATGAGAGGTGTTCAAATAACAAGTCACGTCATGCATACTCGGCTCGGAGGGCCCAGTAGTGACTGTTAGACTTATCATAAATACCTCACCAAATTCTGTTTCGAGTCGGTTCATGTTTGGAAGAAACTATAAACATACGGATTTTATGGGTCTGTTGAATGTTTGAGTTAGCCAGACATAGGCCTCCTCTGGTCAGTATAAACATTTTATAACAGTTCACCTTATGACATTTTAAGAAATGACGATACTAGGCAAATATTTTTGTTATTAATCATTCGAGTGTACTACGAGGGGCTACTGGATGGTTGGGTTGTTAAGGCTCTGCTTGCTGACCAACCAGCAAGTATATCTTAGTTCTGCACATTAGTCCAGAACAAGAGTAAACTCTCTTAGTGTGAGTATACACCGAGAAGCGGGGGTATACCTTTCCGTGTACTGTATATTGGTTTATTTGCGGGGGGGGGATTAAGGCCTATTAGCCTCTGGAGGGTTAAGGAGTCCTCCACAATTGCATACTGATCAATCAGGAAGTAAATTAGACCCGAATGCGGGCGAGGAGTCACAATAACGTGGCTAAAGTAAGTTGACCAGACCACACACTAGAAGGTGAAGGGACGACGACGTTTCGGTCCGTCCTGGACCATTCTCAAGTCGATTGTGAGACTTGAGAATGGTCCAATCGACTTGAGAATGGTCCAGGACGGACCGAAACGTCGTCGTCCCTTCACCTTCATGTGTGTGGTCTGGTCATCAAATTAGACCCGAACTTTATCCGGGCATAGAGTAAACTCCGCGTATAGACACCGGGAAGCTGGTTTACATCGGCATGCATACAGATGTATAGGAGTAAATTTTGACCAAACAGATCATACCGCAGACTGCTGCGGACTCACCGTCGTCTCACTACTTCACTTATGGTAATATCAACTGTACATTCACCTCAGCTTCCTGAATGTACAACGGAGGCGGTGTATGTCATTAATTAATACGTCATACTGGAGTATATAATTGGAGCATGTCATACTGTATGTATACTCCAGTATTCTTAAGTCCTCCATCTCAATGACCCAGTAGATATTTTTTTTGCCTACTGTCAAAAAAAGGGTAAAGGAATGGAACTTCATTACTATATAGAAAAATAACTATGACTTCAATTTTGTTTATTATAACAACAAACGAGTTACTGTGTATTATCTTTCGACTCTAAATAATAATCATCCTTACTATTTCTGATGATATTGTTATCATTGGTTTTAAAAACGGTCTTCAACTAAGCTAACCTTATAGGCCATTGTCTCGCCCGGGACTACATTTTTTGGGTATTGTGTTGGACGTATAAGGCCTATCAGCCTCTGGTGGTTTAAGCCCACAACAAATAGTTACTGACCAACCAGCCTGTTGGCTTTAGCCGCAAGCATTGTGTACTCATACTACTCTCATACTAGGTTGTAATTGACAAAATTTAATATTTAGTTTAAATGTTAAATTGACAAAATGTCAAAACATTATTGATTTATACCATTAAAAGGCAATATTAATAGCCTTATGCTGATCATAATTATAATATATATGTATAATTATATATATGTATAATATAAGCATGCCAATCCCAATTATGAACATGCATGATTTAGTAGACATGAATATCATACTCAATTTCACAAAATGAAAATAGTTTATACTGATGTAGTGTAAGCCTAATGCATGACGCATGTGTTAAATAAAATTTGGTGCAAGCCATAAGCCTGTGGAGTATAAATCATACAACCGGTAAATGCATGAAACATACAAGGTGTATGCGAGATGAACGAGGCGCCTGTGTTGGAGATTTACCGTTGGTGATAAAAAAAAGCAACAGGATAAATTACCTGGATTTTGGCTCCTTCCTGGTAAGTGACACATGTACATGTGTATTTATACAGCTACCTTAGACTATTATGCTGCGCAAGTCGCATGACAGCCTCTACGGGTTCTTCCCGCCATGTGTCACTGCTTCCTGCCAAGTATCAATGCGTTCGGCTGTGAATTATTGCCTCCAGCCCATGTGACACTGCTTCCCGCCCATGTGACTCTGCTTCCCGTCATGTTTTACTGGTTCATGCCATGTATCACAGCTTCATGCCGTGTGCCACAGCTTCCCGACATGCTTCATGGCACCTCACCAATCGTCAGCCTTCTTCCTGTGTCCGGAACTTGTCACACTCCCACGTCAGTGTGAACTGTCCGTCATCTATTTTCTTCGACTCAAAACTCGCACGTAATTTTAGGCTTTGCCGTATCCTGTTTGACACAAGAGTGTGCGGTGAGGTTAAAGCGTAGGTTCAAGCTTTGTTTAACGATTTTCGACAAAGCCTGGTTTCCCGATTGTCAGACCTGAATATATCGTTAGGGTAGGATGTGCAAGCTTAGGCTGGATTGGGTTAGGCGGCGCTGAGTTGGGTTAGATTAGATTAGGCAGGTTTCAAAATGCATTGGTGAACCGTTTGGTTTAAGACGCGACTTGTATCCAATAGTCTCTTCGAGTTGTCTAGATTATGTCGTGAGGTTTGAGTTGGCTTCGAATGGTTAGCAACAAAGGGAAAATGGGGAATGACTGTGACGTCAAACACGCTTGGCTTCGTATGCCAGTGGTAAACGTCATGCGCAAACATGCACTTCAGATCTGGTCCATGCGTGAGTCCTGGTGTAAAGCACTGGGTCCAGTGCTGCTCGACTCGGGTCTCCTAATGTGTTTTTTTACATATATTATTACTAATATATAACAAATGCTAATATAGTTAGCCTATATAATAAAAGTGAATAACCTCATCTTCCTTTGGCAAGCATTAGACCTCTTCTGTTATGTATACGTCTGTAATTGAACAGGTAATTTTATCGAGTATTTATATGTTATTGTAAGTAAAGTATAATATTATAGTATAACGCATACATAATTAAACTAAGATATATATATATATATATATATATATATATATATATATATATATATATATATATATATATATATATATATCTAAGTAAGTCGTTCTTGTAAGTCGTCAGTAAAATCAACTTGTTTAAATGTTTTCAGTAATACAAAACAGTACTGTTATTGACTATTTTATTGACAACACGCCGCTGGCGGGTACTGTCATGTGTGGGTGTCGTGGGCGGATATATTGTCATGTGTGGATATCGTGGGCGGATATACTGTCATGTGTGGGTGTCGTGGGCTGGTATATTGTCACGTGTGGATATCGTGGGCGGGTATACTCTCAAGTGTGAGTGTCGTGGGCGGATATACTGTCACGTGTGGGTGTCGTGAGCGGGTATACTCTCAAGTGTGAGTGTCGTGGGCGGGTATATTTGTCATGTGTGGATATCGTGGGCGGGTATATTGTCATATGTGGGTGTAGCATCACCGGGCTTTGACATAGAACAGTGACTTGGTCCACTTCCAAACAGTTCTCATGACATTAAGAGTACAATATGTAACCTCCAATGTGTATACATATACAATGTTGAACTTGGTTATATATGATCTAATCTGAACTTAAAATCTCACTCAGTTTTTTGTGTTTTTAGGTAAACGCACAAAATAAGGTCCAATCACGTTCATCTTGAACTTAATAAAATAGAGGATAACGACAGCTCCATGGAAACTGTTCCTTACAATTTCACATAAACAAAAAAATATATTCCATTTAATACTCAATACGAATACTGGATGTAATTTATAATGTAACGCTGTAGCTGATTAAGGTATTGTATAATGAAAAGTTTCAATAATGAATAATCTAGTCTTGATTATTTTCTCAACTATTGTATTTAGGCCAATTATGGCTATGGATAAAAGTTTAATAGTGGGGTACAAGCTTGTCTTATTAGTAAATATACTGTCAAATCTGGCACTATATCTTGGAGGTGCTTACGCCTCACACAAGGGTATACCTGGTGGTGCAGTGGGTTAGAGCAGACAATGGGTTACAGCAGACAATGGGTTACAGCAGACAATGGGTTACAACAGACAATGGGTTACAGCAGACAATGGGTTACAGCAGACAATGGGTTACAGCAGACAATGGGTTACAGCAGACAATGGGTTACAACAATGGGTTACAGCAGACAATGGGTTACAGCAGACAGTACTAGGTTACTGTTTACAGCAGGCTAACCACAAATAACGCGCATTAAGGTTATTAGGTATAATTTAAGGGTGGATGTCATTCACAGTCACTCTGGTACACTCAATACACAGGTCCTGAGTGGCTTCTCACCTGTGTGGCGTCAGAATACGGGGTGGCAGAGTTGTCGTGGACGCGCAGGGAACCGAACACATAGCGTCCCGTGACCCCCGTTCGGGAGTCCTCACTGCACAGTCCAGGTAACATTGTCGGTAAATAGAAAAGTTACAACACCACCACCACCAGCAGCTAGCTAGCAAGCTCGTGGCGTGGTGTTAGCGCACAAGTGTAGCGCGCGGTGTGTGAGAGCACGTGTCGCGCGCGGGCCTCCTGGGGTATATAGCGCGGTGCTGTCCCCGTGACTGACTCTTCAACAGGTGCGCGCGTGACTGACTGGTTGTAAACACGGGGCACTGTTTTTGAGGCGCTGGGCGTGACGTCACTCTCATGCTACCCAACTGACTTCCTCCGCGAGGGGGGAAGGGGAGTCGAGTGTCGACGTCACGCCGGTGTGGACCAATGGGAGGGGCGGGGATGGCTATGGGCGGGGCGAGAGGCAACCAATGAGGGTACAGTTGCCGCTGGGTGGCGCATGCGTCCGGGTCGGGAGGTCAGCGTGCGGGTACACCACCACCCTCTTCCTCAAGTGCCCACCACATCCACCTACTGACCAACCCCATCAATGTTGAAAATAAGCTGAAAGCGACAGGAAAAACTTAGTTATTTACATTAGTGCTTAACTTTAAAAGTAAATATATATATATATAATATTAGATTTATATAATGACTAGAAATACGAACCTTATAAAACCAAATGTTGTTGAATGTGATGGAAAGAAACGTAGACTGTATACTTCAGAAAGGAAACAGTAATGTCAACATTGGACTTGTACTGTGCTCCACAGCTGTAATATACATATACATAACGTATAAACGAGTTAGAAGTCATTAGCTAAGAGGCGAGAGAAAGCTGCAGGAATCTTCAGTCATTCCTAAATTCCTAAAAAAGTAAGTTGAGAAGGTCAGGCTAGCGTCCCAGTGCCGAGTGATCCTAGTGTGAACGTTTGAATTTCCTTGAGAGAGGTTTGGAATCTATTAATAAACACGCTGACAAGACAGCTATAGGCCCCATATTTTTGTTTTGTTTTACACCCGTGGGGCCCAGTCACCATACCTGATTAATATATATTAACGGGGAAGATTGCAGTAATAATAATTACTTGTACCACTGAAAAATATGACTGTACTTGAGCACTTTGAACCATGGAAAATTATTTGTCTTGTTTCGTTTCTGATGGGCCTAAAGCCTATCAAATGCGGGAGGTGCTAGGCCTTAGAACTGACCAACCAGTGAGTATACTTCAGTTATGATCATTATGATATATATAATATATTTATGTATATATTATATAAACACACACTTAAGAAATGTATATCTCTGGATTTTCGCTTTACCGACATAATAATCTTTCTGTGCACCTCAAAGTGGCCTGCGAATACATAACAGGATTGAGATATTCAAATCATTTGTTGTTAATGAAAGATTCGATTCTAACTTTGGACCAGTTGCGAGCCGAAGCTGTACACTAGTGCGCGAACTTCAACGTTACTACAAGTTAATGCAAGACAGCACAATTTGAGCTCCACTTATTTCTTAATGTGATTGCTGCCGCCTGGAATGGATAAGACATCATACGGGCACTAGTTTATTATGCTTCCAATCGCTGTATGTGTGGTAGTTTACTATGCGTCCCATGTTCATCTTGAGAGTGGTAGTTTATTTTGAACCGTAGCCTATTGTACACCCCATACCCGTCATGTGTGCGGTAGCCTATTGTACACCCCATACCCGTCATGTGAGCGGTAGCCTATTGTACACCCCATACCCGTCATGTGTGCGGTAGCCTATTTTTTTTTTTCAAGGATATTCCTGCGCGAGCCCTAAGCCCCCTTAGCTGGTCCACTAAGTGTTGCTTGTTTCTGTTTTACTTGAGCAGAGTATGAGTATTTATGACTCCTATGGTCGCTTCAGTAAGATTTTGTCCCATGTGTTCAACAACTTCTGCTCTGTTGAATCTAAGTTGAAATCTTAATGGGTTTGTAACTGTGCACTGTGTTAGATAATGTTCCAGTGGTCTGTCGGACATTTCTCCACAGTGTTGACATTTCCTCTCATCTTCCGGAACCTGTAAGCCTATTTCCCATGCACATGGGTATCCAAGCCTGATGTGATGTAAGTGTACTTTTGTTGCTCTACTGCTCCCTTTCATCAAACTAAGTGGTTCGTAGTTGGTTGAATTCTTGTACCAACCCGCAGATCCTGATGTTGCAACTGCTGTGTTGTGGTCACTGTACATCTTTTGCATTGCTTCGTTTCAAATTATGGTAGCCTATTGTACATCCATGCTCCTCATGTGAGCCATAGCCTATAGTACACCCCATACCCGTCATGTGAGCGGTAGCCTATTGTACACACCATACCCGTCATGTGAAAAGTATTTTATTGTGCTGCTCATTGTGTGAGAGGTAGAGCTAGAGGATTAGAGAGAGCACAAAAGGCCTACCTTGAGGTTACCTTGAGATGATTTCGAGCCTTAGCATCCCTTCAGCCCGGTCGTCGACCAGGTCTCCTCGTTGTTGGAATGGTCAACCTGGCTGTTGGACGCGGCTGTTCGTAGCCTGACGTATGAGTCACAGCCTGGTTGATCAGGTATCCTTTGGTGCTTGTCAAGTTCTCTCTTGAACACTGTGAGGGAACGGTCAGTTATGCCCCTTATGTATAGTGGAAGCGTGTTGAACAGTCTCGGGCCTCTGATTTTGATAGAGTTCTCTCTCAGAGTACCTGTTGCACCTCTGTTTTTCAACGGGGGTATTCTGCACATCCTGCCATGCCTTCTGGTCTCGTGTGGTATTATTTCTGCGTGCAGGTTTGGGACCAGCCCCTCTACTATTTTCCACGTGTAAATTATTATTTATCTCTCCCGCCTGCGCTCAAGAGAATACAGATTTAGGCATTTTAGTCGGTCCCAATAGTTTAGATGTATTACTGAGTGGATTCTAGCAGTAAAAGATCTCTACACGTTCTCCAGGTCAGCAATTTATCCAGCTTTGAAAGGGGCTGTCATTGTGCAACAGTATTACAATCTTGAGAGAACTAGCGTCTTGAAAAGTATCATCATTAGCATAGCATCTCTAGTTTGAAAGACTCTAGTTATCCAACCTGTCATTTTTGTTGCAGTTGTGACGGCTACTTTATTGTGTTCTTAAAAGGTAAGGTCTTCCGACATGAGTACACCCAAATCCTTTACATTGCTTTTTCGTTCTATGTTATAATTTGATTGCGTTTTGTACGTGGTTTCCGTTTTTATATTTTCATTTAATATAACTGCCTTATCACAGCACGGGAATATCTGACATTTATCATGAACGACCATAAGCGGAGTGCATGTACACTAAGGTGTATGTGTGTGTGTGTATAATATACTGTATATATATTAATTGAGTTCAGAATTGTGTTCAGAGCTAAGGTTTACTTTATGCCTTGCCAGAAAAGTATTGTGGTAGCATACAGAATGTCTTCCTGTTGTTGAACGGTAATTTAAAACTCCAAATATGTGCAAATCACCCTGAAACCCGCTAAAAAAATAACGCTCAATAGTCATATTTACGATAGGCATCGTATTTTGAAAACTACAAGGGGATTTGGGCAAATCCTGACCAGATCGACGTTTTCACTAATTTATGTATTTTCGGTATAAAAAGTCGTAATTTACAACTCCAAATATGTGCAATCATCCAGAATTCCGCTCAACAGTCATATGTCCGATAGACGTCATATTTTGAAAACTGCAGGTCAATTTGGGCAAAATATCACAAATCGCTGTTTGTATCTAATTCGCATATTTTCGGTGTAAAAAAATCGTAATTTAAAAATGTCAAAATATATATATGTAACTTCTATTATTTAGCGATGATAGTGTTAAGAGAAGAGACTGTGATCAAATCGAATTCTTTAATCAATGTGTACAATGTTCAGATTTCAGTAATATTGTTCAAGCTGTTCACAGCGCTAGGCACAGCGTACTGCCATTATTTGGTCCATCTAAGAATCTTGAAACGACTTCTCATGTTCCTTTACAAAATTAACTTGTGGAAAATTATTCATTTACAGGCTTTGCAGTGACTAGGATTCTGATAATAGCAGCACTGAGGTGAGAATTAGTGATGTGTGTAGTATGGTGGGAAGAGGAATTTTGATGAGGGGTGAGGGGTGAGGAATCTTGGTGAGGAGTGAGAGAAATGGCGGGGTCAGCTAGCCTAGTGCGTGGCAACCACTGTTATTGTCTGAACTCACCAGACCAGCTTAGTGGTTCGTTATGGTGAACAAAACCTGTAGATAATTATATATAACGTGTGTGTGTGTATAGTGTAATAACGGCAAAAAGAGTATGCTGACAGAAGCGTGTTGTGAGGAAGGTGACGTCGTCTGTTTCGTGACTTGTCACACACACTACTGTATGGTGACCGCTATGCTGTTTGGACACCATTGGTCGAAACCACACTTAGATCCCGGACCAAACTTACGAAGGTTTTTCGACTTAGTGTAGCTACCTGAATACCGACGTAGCCGCCACGAAGGCGCTAAGAAGGAAAACATTCGTAGCTGAGAAGAAAAACCTTCGCAAGTACCTTCGTGAATTTGGGCCCCATACCAACTTAGTGGTACAGGTATTGTACATGCAGATAATTGTATATAACATACAGATACTTGTTATACACAAGAATCTGCATGTTATATACGTGTGTGTGTGTATATAGAGTAATAACAGCACAAATATTTTATTGTTTTATGAACATAATAATTGAATCACTAATATGTACACCATACTTTTGAGTATAGCAATGGTTTACACATTTTATTATACAAATATGTCACACTACGCACTATTGAATAAAATCAAAATAAAATCAGAGACAAAATCACTCGGAGACATTGAAATAATTAGGTAATAACATCTTCGTCGAAACTCCCGGCTGACGCTGACCAGAGTCTCGGACTTAATTGAAACAATAGTTACCAGGGGCCAGATTCACGAAAGCACTTACGCAAACACTTACGAACCTGTACATCTTTTCTCAATCTTTGGCGGCTTTGTTTACAATTATTAAACAGTTAATGAGCTCCGAAGCACCAGGAGGCTGTTTATAACAATAACAACAGTTGATTGGGAAGTTTTCATGCTTCTAAACTGTTTAATAAATGTAACCAAAGCCGTCAAAGACTGAGAAAAGATGTACACGTTCTTAAGTGCTTGCGTAAGTTTTTTCGTGAATCTAGCCCCAAAACTCTTAGGCTTCAAGCGTGGAATTTCGGGTATAAGATTAATCTACTTTGTATGTTTCATTACTTGAGAAATTACAATTATAGTACTATAAATTTTACCATTTTATAACCGAACATAGAAGCTGCTGAACAAAATTAATAATAAAAAAATGCAATGAAACCACATTTAAAAGTGGAAATAATTCAGTCTGTCCTCTCGAGCGTTCACAAAGGCACTAAACTCATGTACTAACTTGCCAGAACCTAACCTAACCAAACCAAGGGCCCTCGAATAGAAAACGGAACATCGCATCAATTAATGCAATCCGCTGTGAAAATTCTAAGTACACCACTTTTTAGCCTTAAGCGGATACGTCTGAATACGGCCTTAATACGTCAAAATACAATGTACTATTCGAGAGAACGGGTTGGAATAATTAGCTAGAGCGCAGTCACTCCTCCTTCAGGCCTTAATAGGACAAATTTTGCTATTGACCTCCGCCCCCAGAAAGGTCGTGAAAGCTCTATACGTAATCATGTCCACTTTCAAATGTGATTTGTATTGCATTCCATAAATCAGCGATTGTTAATCTTTGTGTATTCATAAGAAAATTAATTATATTAGTTACTCCGTACTAAATAACTCTGAACGACAACTGTAGCGAACACATTAGTATACTTAAAAGTTTGTCCCGCCTTTGATTTACTCAATTCACTTCGCGCGCTAATTTTAAAATACCGTTTGAAGGGTTATAAGTTACATTCATAATTAAAGATTCGAACAACAGCTGTTCAGGCTTATTAGTAAGTTTCAACTATTATTTCATTATAATATATATATATATATATATATATATATATATATATATATATATATATATATATATATATATATATATATGTCGTACCTAGTAGCCAGAACGCACTTCTCAGCCTACTATGCAAGGCCCGATTTGCCTAATAAGCCAAGTTTTCACGAATTAATTGTTTTTCGACTACCTAACCTACCTAACCTAACCTAACTTTTTCGGCTACCTAACCTAACCTAACTTTTTCGGCTACCTAACCTAACCTAACCTATGAAGATAGGTTAGGTTAGGTTAGGTAGGGTTGGTTAGGTTCGGTCATATATCTACGTTAGTTATAACTCCAATAAAAAAAATTGACCTCATACATAATGAAATGGGTAGCTTTATCATTTCATAAGAAAAAAATTAGAGAAAATATATTAATTCTGGAAAACTTGGCTTATTAGGCAAATCGGGCCTTGCATAGTAGGCAGAGAAGTGCGTTCTGGCTACTAGGTACGACATATATATATATAAAACTATATTGACATTCAGTTTTAATTGGATATCTGTAAATTTACTCTTACCAGGAAGAAAACACAATAGGTTTGTTTAACATAAATAAGCTAGTGTTTTTTTTTATATATAAATTTTGTACAATGAAGAAATCTTGAAAAACAAAAAAATGTGGTTGCCTTTATTTAAGATTTGATGATGAATAATGCGGCATTCAAAACAGCATGAAAAGTTGTCATACATTTCTCATTGTACAAGGTGTTTGCTTTTTGGGTTTGGTCCTTTATGCCTAAAATTTTAAATATATACAATCTTTTCCTCCTACATCCTAGTATTGTGTATCATGGTCATACCAGCATACAACAGCCTCTTAAATCTTGACTGGTGTGATGATGATGATTTTTTTTGTAAATAGAGAGGCACTAGTGAAGGGAAGGGAAGCCATTAGGTCTATATAGCACTGGTGAAGGGAAAGTTTAGGAATGGGAAATACAGTGTGAGTATCGGGCGGACTGTCCGCCTTGCTGACTCATGGACGCATTTACAGTCCCGATTGTTGGGAGCATTGAACTAATTCATCACAAATCGCCGAGTAACATTAAGATCGCTGGATTGTTTCAAGCGTAGGCTAGACATATACGAATGAGTTTATGTGTGGATCTGAAATAGGATTTGCCTCGCATGGTTGGGATCAGCTGTCATGTTACACATTTCGTCAACTAGTTAGTTTTTTCATTTATTGATTTTATAATAGCAATAAACATGATATATTTGCATAATTTTTTTTTTTTGGGGGGGGGGAGAACTTAGACTATTTGTATTAAGAAAACTAAAGACGTTTTGGAAAATCCCCTCCTATTGATCCTTTATTATATGCTAATGTGTCAGAAAAGTGTCATAGAATGATTATATCTGAAAGGTGTGTTTTTAAAGAGGGAAAACAAATAAAGGGATTTTAAGACTGACACTATAGAACCAGTGCCTATGTATGTTAAATTATTTATCACTTAAATAGAATGAATGGACTGTATTATTAATTGATTAAAGTTAAAAGCCTCAAATATCAACATGGGGGGGGGGTTATTTCTAGAAGTTCATATATATCTAGGAACCAGTGTGGTTCGTCACATTAATGGTTAGTATTTTTTCCACAGTTTCACTGGGAGGGGTTGTAAGGATCAGGAATTCACATGAATGATACCCCTAACAAACCTTTGCAGACGTCGCTCTGGAAGAATGGAGATTGATGATCCTTTGGAGGTGTGGCATCTTGTATATGACCTCTAGTCAGAAATATGTGTGTGTCGTATTTTGGATCATGATTTTTCTATGATCAGAGCATCATGGGTACAAGAATCTGACAAATGCTTGAGAGCATAAATTTGAGATATATATTAAAACATTCGGTGCTACATGATATCATTTGACTGTCGTTATATTAACAATATTGTAATACTTGGGTGATAGTTGACGAGAATTGACTGGAAGAGGTGAAGTCCTGCCTGACAACTTTTACTACTACTCTACTTCTACTACTAGCTACTTCATTCACAGAAATAATAGGTAAGAGATTTTACAGTGCCTTATGAGGCATACAAGACCCTACTGTGGCATACTTCAAGTTCTTGAACCTATTCAGTGCCACATGACACTTGTCACGGGCATTTCGAAGCCCCGTGACAGGTGCCAGACTCCGTGGTGCCATAAGACAAGTCTCAGACTCGACAGTATAGTGAATGACACGTAAGAATCCCTCTATGACATATGTCATTGTGGATGATTTCATTCTTGACATATATATGTCAATAATAAAATCTTACACAATTATGGCACAAATGAAAACTTCTACAGTGACATTTGAGTGTTATGACAGTGCTGTGTTGTCATGTACTTGTCATATACGCGAACATGTCGTTTGAGTGCCAGTTTAAGAGTGCAATGTGACGAGTATAACCCTCAGTGCCATTTGGGAGCTGTGACAGCATCTAAGGCATTAGGTGACAAGTGCCACATTGCAGTGCCACACGAGAGTTTCTACAGTGACAAATGATACATGTTAGAGTAGTCCAATAGTTAAGTCTTGCAGTACTATTTGCTCAGCCCAATTACCAAGTCTTACAGTGCCACATGACAGTCACTGTACCTCGTGAACAGTGCCTGTTTACTACACTGCAACTCGATAAGAAGTGTGTCCATACAAGCAGTGTCTACTATAATCAGAATGGCAGGCGAAGGAGAGACATTAAACGTACCTAAACACCAAATATTTTTCTTGTATAAGACGAGGTCGGTGGCAGAGTGTAGGCTTGGCACGAGAACACCAGTGGCATGACACCAGTGCCATCTGACAGGAACGCCAGTGTCACGTGACGTGGCGAGGTTCCACATAATTGGAAATATAATGTCATTATTTCCCCATGACACTAGTGCCACGTCTATCGGTACCACAATAGACAATAGACACAGTCCCCCCCCCCCCCAGTACTCTTGATACATATACACAAGAATTAATTACTTGAAAGTGTCAACATAATTGTTTTTCGTCATATTTAGATGAAATTAAAAAAAAAGATTGATAAAATTACTTTTTCTTGCTCTTTACTCTAGTCAGAATCCTTTACAATGAAATGAAAGTGACGATGTTTCGGTCGAAAGTCATAGGATGAGCCAAGGCGCAAGTTGTTTCCGTTATGTACTTCATTCGATAAATAATATTTCTATAGAAATCAGAGTTTTAAAATGGGATTGAAATGAGGAAGATGCTTCATCAGACTCTTTGTAAGACAAATGTTTGAGCCCAGTATTCAAATTGAGGACCTCCAGGCTTAATATAAGGAGCTCAGTTTCACATAAGACGCTCCAAGCTTAATTTAAGGAGCTCCAAGCTTCATATAAGACGCTCCAAGCTTAATTTAAGGAGCTCCAAGCTTCACATAAGACGCTCCAAGCTTAATTTAAGGAGCTCCAATCTTCATATAAGGCACTTCAAGCTTAATTTAAGGAGCTCCAATCTTCATATAAGGAGCTCCAAAGTTAATTTAAGGAGCTCCAACCTTCTTATCAGAAACTCCGATGTTAAAAATCACGATTAAAGGATTCAAGTAGAATTTCTTGAGAATTTAGTACACCTCTATAAAGATTGTTTAAACTGAAATTTCATATATCATTCCTTAATCTAATCCTCTGCAATTATCCCTTCAATATAAAAAAAAACAATTAACAAAGCAGTCTTCAATAGTTTTTTTATTAAATATTTTGGAAGTTTGTGTACTGAATCAATAATACCATAGCAGTACTGAAGTCACTCCTTACCAAATTGATAAGCAAATCTCAGTCAGAAAACTCCCTTTATTTAACATTTTTATACAACAGAGGAACCTTATGAGGTCAGGCATACTGTGTTCAGCACTCTAGTGACATCTCGACAATTGCCACATTATTGAACTAAAGCAAAAAAAAAGGTTAGACTGCGAAAAAAAGGCCTAGATTAAATTTAATTCAGTAACTTATGTTTCATTTGCATAGTTACTGTCTTTTGCTATGTAATATTTACTTAGAGTAAAATCTAAATGTGTGTTTATATGTGTATATATATATATCTATATATATATATATAGTTTTATATATATATTGATTCAAAATATCCCTCAAAAATATATTTATAAAACACTAATACATCCAGTACATAGTCTGTCTGAAAGATCTACAGCTTCATCTGACAGGACACACACACACACACACACACAACACACACACACACACACACACACACACACACACACACACACACACACACACACACACACACACACACACACACACACCGTATATATATAAATTCTTAAAGCTATATTACAAATAAGATATATTTCTGTACTATGATATAATACAAAGGGGGGTGCAAAATAATGGGGGGACGGGAGAATATACATGGAACATATAATTTAACTGTGGTACTAGAATTCCCTTTAGCCCAAATAGCAGCTTTCTGTTAACAGGATTTCTGTTTTACTACTGTTTACTTTAAGTTTCCCGTCCCTGACGCGGGTATCTCAGGATGTAAACAACTGTCAATATGTATGATAATGTAGCAGGAAGTGACAGTGACAGGCCGCTGGAGTCCGTCTGGTTATGAGTACTGTCTCCCCGCACCCGTCTCTCTCACACAAGGCTTCCAAACCAATGTGGTATATCTACACTTGTAGGACTGTTAACAAACATGTTAAGAAAACTGTGTTTGTTTCATTTGTAAATTGCTTGATTTTGTTGTTAAGAGTAAGGTAGGCAGCAATGTCACAAATGCTTAGGATTACACATTTTTTCTGTCGTAATTAGTATGATAAAAGTGTCCTCAGGACTTCCCATTTTGGGTTGATTTTCCATTCTTATTCCTTATCAGCTCATCGATCACAACCACATTGTTGTCTAAGACTTGTTTCTTGCCTCCCGCAGGGGCTTCAGGCACGTCGCCACCTTTGGCCGCGTCTCTTGAACAGTTGTGCTGTCCCTCCAGCCTCGAGTCCTTCTCCGGTAGGTGGTCTAAGTCCTCGTCTAGAGTGATGTCTGTGTGGTCGGAGTGAAGGGCCGGGTTCTCGTAGAAGTGATGTCTCGAGTCGTTTTCGTGAGTGTAGTAGAATGCCGTGTGGCGATTATACATAATGATCCCCGTGACGAGGATGATGAGTAGGAGGATGACCACCACTGAGGCTATCACCACTGCCAGTATCAGCGAGAAGTTGGTGGAGCTCGCGCTCGCAGCCGCCATGTCGAAGGTTCCCTCCGGACAAGGCTGCAATTCCAAACCTTCAATTTCGATGATAGGTTTGTCGTACATTTCCATGGGAGACTGGCACTTGAGGCACTTGGGAGCGTCCACGTCTGGGTGGCAGGCTTTCCTGAAGCTCTTGGAGTTATTGAGCCAAATTTTGAGATATGGTATGTGGCACTGGTCACATGACCACGGGTTCGCATCCAATTCAACGTCATGAATGCGGTCCAGACGACGCAAAATGATCTCTGGCATACCACGAAACTCATTCCTGCGCAGATCCAAGGTGTGTAAACTTGGCAGTGTGTGTAGCACATCGACAGGGACGTAATGAAGGCTGTTGCTTGACAAGTTCAGTACCTCCAACTTGGCCTGGGAAGTAAACATGTTAGGTACGAGTTGGTTAAGGTCCAGACGACTCAAGTTCAGTTTCTTCAATCTTGTAGCCTTCTTGAGAAACTCCCGAATGTGTTCAGAGCTGATTCGAGTATTGGCAATATTTATTTCATGCATGTGTGCGACAATAGGGCTCAGGTGTTTGAAAGAGGAGTACTGCAACTTGTTAGCCGACAAGTCGAGGCTCAGTACAGAGCAATCTTCAAAGGCCATTCTTGAAATGGTTTCCATCCTGTTCCTGGATAATCCAAGATGTTGCAAAGCCAAGCCTTGAAAGGTATAATCCTTAAGTTCATAGATCCTGTTGCCATCGAGGTAGAGGTGCCTCAGGTTCTTCAGGTCCATGTACTCCTCTGCGGCCAGGGAAGTGATGTGGTTGTTGCGAAGGTCGAGCAATTCCAGCATGGGAACGACCCTGTACACTAGCGACTTGACTCTGGTGAGCCCGCACTCGGAGCACCTGAAGGTCCGCAACGCAGGCACGTCCCTGAGGACTTCAGGGTCGAGGTCCTGAACGGCATTACCGCTGAGATCGAGGACCTTCAGACGAGTGAGGAGGAGGAACATCCTGGGTGCTAGTCCTCGGAGCTTATTTCTCGCCAGAGTTAAGATCTCGAGAGACTCCACAGACCTGAACATCGCCGACGCCACCGAGTTGATGTGATTGTCGTCGAGATGTAGCGCCTGTAAGGAGAAGATCACTACGTTAGAATTATGCCCATAAATCTAATTTATACTGAAGATTTTTGCAGAATATTTTCACTACAGAAAACACAGAGGACTACCTAGACCACTGTCTGCTCACATGATAAAACTATTTTAGATATCACGGATTGGAAAATATATCATGACTGACATTCATTAGATGAAAAATATAGTTAATTGAAATGCCGATCTATATTAACGTAGGACCGTATAGAATATACATCTTTGTGTATACTGACGTAGTTGTAGCGGAACACTATATCGCTTTAGCTAGATTAGTATGAATTTTTTTTTTTAATGATTGTGACATGATTGTCATGATATTGATGGTGGTGAAGGAGAACGAAACTAATTAAAATGTGAACGAATTATTCAGGAGTCGAGAATCGTTAATTCACAGGATGTTTGGGTATAATAATAATAACTTACAAATATGCAAAACAACGTAATAGTGTTAATTAGTTGTTATATATAATTGCGTATTCAATACAGCCGCTAATACGGAAAAAAGAGAGTTTCGGGTGAGAATAGAATTTGTACAGCGAGCGAAGTTGAGTGGAGTTTCAACTTTTAAAGTGTTGATGGAACTAAGGAACTGGGAGGAATTACAAGGAATTACAAGGAGGAATTCCAAGGAGGAATTACATCTAGCAATTACAATTGCTAGATGGCTTCAAGATGTAAGTGCCTATCCTTAGGCTATGAATATGGTTTACAAGATGCTAATGCTCCACGTAGGTATGCTCCATGGCGCCTGACAGCTGGGGTGGACAGCGCTTCGGATTCGTAGTTCTGAAGTTCCGGGTTCGATCCCCGGTGGAGGCGGAGACAAATGGGCAAAATGTTTATTTCACATTTCACCCTGATGCCCCACCTGTTACCTAGCAGTAAATAGGTACCTGGGAGTTAGGACAGCTGCCACGGGCTGCTTCCTTTGGGGGTGTTTAACAAAAAGGAGGCCTGGTCGAGGACCGGGCCGCGGGGACGCTAAGCCCCGAAATCATCTCAAGATAACCTCAAGGTACCACCTACGTGACTCATAGGGTAGAATACCACCTACGCATCTACCTATGATAGCAGTAGTCCTTACAATAGGGAAGGTAATACAGTACCACTATCAAAATGTGGTGGTATTACACACATTTTTTTTGTGTGTAGGCCTATCAGCCTTTGGGAGGTTATTTGGGGGGGGGGGGGTCCTCCGTTCCCAATCCGGCATCCCGGATTCGATTTCCGGTTCGGGACAGAAATTGTTCGGCTCCTTTTATTTCCCCTGATGCTCCTATTCTCCTATCAGTAAATAGGTACCTGGGAGTTACGTCAACTGTCGTGGGGGTGGTATACTGGGGAGGGTCAGTTCTAGGGCCAATGTAAACTATATACACTAAGTGTGTATACACAATGGTATATATACACTACTTAGTGTATATACACCATGAAACAAACTACATCTTTTGACGTACATGTCCTTTGAACTTCTATTAATACAATTCACAATAATAATTCGTTTTGTCGGGGGACAGGTAGGCAGAGTATATATTAATATCAGGCTTATTTCGAGGTTAAATGGTATACTTCTCTTAATTATCTCCCAGTTACATGGATAATTTAAAGGTTTAGATTAGGCTCCCTTGTAATTGAAGCTTGACAGAACACGGGAAAAAATTCATTGTAGTCTCTCCTTGAATTTTAGGCTTCTTTAGAGAAAACGAATCTAGATGTAAATATTATTATTCAGTTTATTTCTTAAATATGGTATTAACTTTTTTGCGGCCTCTTTAGCTTGCTTCAAATTTATTTTAAAATTAGAAAGACCAGATCTGAGAAATACTTTAAAAAATCAGTATTGATTCTTGCATTTAATATTAAATATTTTAAGACATGCAAAGCCGCATTCACTCAGCTAATTGTGCTTGCGGGGGGGGGGGGGGGCCTGAGCTCTGCCTCTTGGGTCCCGCCTTTCAACTGTGTATGGAGTCAGTCTCCACCACATCACTGCCGCTACCGAGAACGGGCTGGTGTGTGTGTGTTAATCACAGGGCCTTTTGCCCAAGAAGGAAAGTGCCGTACAATCAGGCGTCACGAGTTCGATTCCCGGCCAGGACAGAAGTGGTTGGATATATTTCCTTTCACCTAATGCCTCTATTCACCTAGCAGTAAATAGGTATCATGCAGTTAAGCAACTCTTGCATTCTGGGAAGGGTCAGTAGTTTGACTTTGTTGGGGACCTCGATACAAATATATATATATATATATATATATATATATATATATATATATATATATATATATATATATATATATTTTCTTCTCCGAGGCTATGGGTCCCTACACTTGCACCAGAGGTGGTACCCCTTCTAGATTTAAAATTATATATATATATATATATATATATATATATATATATATATATATATATATATATATATATATATATATATATATGGAAGCAGTCTTTCTTGTAAACATATGTTGATAATTATGACTGAAAGGGTAAGAATAATGATTCTAGCACGAATCTTCTCTCTATTTCTCTATTTCTCATGTTTTTCTTCACTGTCGAGGGAAGTTGAAAAATTAACTCTTCAAAGTTCATTTTCACACTTTATTATTATGGTCTGACGCCTTGGGATGTGTTTCGCAACGTACTCCTTACATTCTCAAAGACAAGTTTACCGTGTTGTTGATGTTGTTTTTAGATTCAGCTACTTAGAACAAAAGTTCCAAAGTAGCACGGGCTATGGTGAGCCCGTAGTGGACTTACCTGGCACAGGAGCGAGGCTGTAACTGGAGGTTTACTATATTTAGCACCGGATTATATTCTCTTTGAGTGAGGTGGTATAGAACAAGTGGATGAATGGCATAACATAAGGGGTATTAATTGGGTATTAAATGTATCAACAAGGACAGCTTATGTTCCTGCTCATTACATGCTGCACTCTGCATTGACTCGGGGTCTTGAAGTGGGTAGAATGTAATTATATGTTTGTCGTCGATTGCTGGTCTGGACGTCTTGATATGTAGCGCCTCGCTGATGTCCAGTCTTCTGTTGTCACTATGCTTGACGATTATTTCAGTGTTGCTTGTTAAGATGTCTCTGGTGATGGTCTGGTTGTGTGTGGAGATTATATGCACCTTGATGGAGCTCTGTTGTTTGTGCATTGTTAATCGCCTAGAGAGAGACGTTGTTGTCTTGCCTATATACTGAGATCGTTAAGGCTGATAGTCCCCAAGTGGGCATGGGAAAGCATAGACGATGTTAGTCTCTCTTAAAGCGCTTTACTTGGTGTCTGGAGAATTCTTCATAAGCCAGTTGGCAGTCTTCTTGTTTTTTGTAGTAAATTATTAATTGTATCTTCTGATTTTTGTCTGTAGGGATAACATTCCTATCAATAATATCTTTCAGGACTCTTTCCTTCGTTATATAAGTCGTGGAAGGAAGTGCGTGTAAAACAGTGTTATAGGAGGTACAGGTATTGTGTGGGACGAGCTTACTGGTAATTAGCAGAGGTACTCCTTGGTGGCGTCTTCGATGCCACGCAGTGCTAGGAAGTGCTTGACGTATAATGAGCCTTCACAGGTCCATTACCCGAGGTCCCAACCACTTGGACGGGACAGTACAGCGAGTGCATTGTTTTCTTGCGGGTCAGCGTTCAATCCCCAACCGTTCAAGTGGTTGGGTACAATTCCTTCCCTCCGTCCTATCTTAAATGCTTATCCTAACATCCCTTTTAAGTGCTACATAGTCGTAATGGTTTAGTGCTTCTGATAGTGACGTTACCCTTGAATGTTAGCTGGTGTCTCCATCGTTCCAATACAAGACTATAGAGACCCATGTAAGAACGTGTTATACCGGTGCTAAATATAAGTTTGGACTGGTGGGCACAGATGCAGCCTTGCTTCTTGCTGGTCCGCGTTCGATCCTCGATCGTCCAAGTAGCGCCAGGTACCATTCCTAGCCACCGGTCTTATATCCCACTTCCTTATCCATTGCATGTGCTATGTAGTCATACTGCCTCAACGTTTTTGTTCCTCACCTGGCCTAATCATGCACGACTCCGGGCCGTGAGAGCAGGAAGCAGCTCCCTGCCCTAGGAAAGCTACCAAGTGTTTAGCTCAGGAATGTCTAATTTAATGTCTCAAAATCAAAATTTTTGTTTTGAATCCGGGGAGGAGGGAAAGGGGGAGGGACCTAAGGTAACAGAAGCCTGTGTAGCAAGGCAGGTAATAAAACAAACTTCTCACACACTCCCATTAGTAGTGGAAATGGCGCCTACGACCATGAGTTTTGGTTTTTTTCCCACGCACGGTCATAGGTGCCATTACCACTACTCACATTAACCTCATATTCACACTAACCTCTCTCACTCACACTAACGTTTCACCTTCACTCTTCGACGATCACTATAGTCCCCTCTCCTCCTAACATTGCTTCCTCATAACCCCTTCACGGGATACTTGTCCCATGAGACTTTTCCTCACTGATACTGACCACCATACTGACCACCACCACACTAACCTTCACCACACTAACCATCACCACACTGACCATCACCACACTAACCTAACCATCACCACACTGACCATCACCACACTAACCTAACCATCACCACACTGACCATCACCACACTGACCACCACCACATCAACCTAACCATCACCACATCAACCTAACCATCACCACACTAACCATCACCACACTAACTTAACCACCACCACACTAACCTCCAAGTTCCGTAGACCTCTGAGATGAGAGTCGAGAAGAAAGGTGATGTTGTTGTTAGTAAGATTGAGGAGCTTGAGGTGTCTCAGGCCCCAGAAGGCGTTCTCCCCGATGGCCGGGACGTTGGAGCGAGTGATGTGGATCTCCTCCAGCTGCGACAGGGTGGAGAAGATGGGTCCCACCGTCAGGGTGTTGGTCTGGTCCTCAGGGGACGTCACCGTCAGTACCTACGACAGGGGAGCATAGAGTTAGCACAGCTAAATGGTTATGTACTGAATCGAATATTTTTATTGCCATATAATTTGATAAAAGCCTATAATGATGCAGAGTTAATTGCAAAGTGATGCAGTGTGATACAGGTCGTTTTGTTATATTATTTTTTATAAAACTGTAATATCAATATAGGTATAGGTTAATTACTAACTGTAATATCTTAACATACTAAGAAGGTTAGGTTAGGGCGTGGTTTTCTATTCAGATTTTCAGGTAAACTCAAATATTCACAATAAATTAGTATATCACTTATGTACTTATTCTGTACATAAGCAAAATATTAACTATAATCAAGTGCGATAAAGGGTTGCATACAGGATACAGCCTTAATACAGGACTCTGTAGGCGACAACATAGGGCAGGGGAAAACGTCATTAAAAAAACGAATGAGAACAATCTCCTTAACTTGTAAATTTGTAAATAGAAAATATCTTTTTGATTGAAAACTTTGTAAGCAAAAAGTTACAAAAATATATTTGAGACATACAATAACAACAAGAGTGATTGTTATTGTTTTGTTTGTTTGTTATTTACATAGAGATTTACGACGGGTAACATCTGTGGGGAATTTTACAGGATCTTCGAGTGAACATTCGAGCTAATGTTAGAATTAATAAATGTTGGACACCAAAAGTTATGTATTCCTTCAACTTGCCTTGGAAAAGTGTGTGTATTTCCTATATATGTCTGCAGAATTGAGCTATTAGCTCTTGGACTCTTCCTTTCTAACCAATCTATTTTTCCCCTATTATATCTACTACATATATTTCTCTCACACACATCCCCAGGAAGCATCCCGAAGCAACTGTCTAACTCAAAGGTACCTATTTTATGCTAGATGAACAGGTGCATCAGGCTGAAAGAAACTCTGCCCATTTGGTTCCACCTCGGGTGGGAATCGAACCCGGGCCCTTAGGACTACGACCCCCGAGCGCTGTCTACTCGGCTGCGAGGTCCCGTGTGTGTGTGTGTGTGTGTGTCTGTGGGATTAGTTCAGGGTCCCATTGACGATATCTTCTTGACTGGAAGTCTGGAAATACTGTTATTATATCAACACCTGATACGATGGATCTGTTTATTGTCTCATTCATACAGTCATACTAGTATGCATGTATTTTAATATTGTATCTCTTAACACCTGTTTTCAACCCTTTGTCTCTCTTCCCTCTGGTCGTATACTTCCCAGTCCCTATAACTATACCCATTCACAGTCGTATATACTTCCTGGTCCCTATAACTACGGTGTCCGTGTGGGGTGCATCTCCTGGCTTACCTTAGTGTCTCTGTCCATATTGAAGATGGGTATGGGGTCGGCCAGGCTGCCGGAGTCACAGGTGACGGCCTTCCTGCCCTCGGTGTCGTACCTGCACCTGCAGGAGCCTGGGCAGCGCCCCTCCACCAGCACCAGAGTGGTGGCCAACGCCGCCACCGTCAGCCACGTTCGCGTTTCCATCATCCTGAGGGAAGGAAAAATACAGGTAGTCGCAGTGGAGATGTAATGGGGGGAGGCCATAACGTTTTGAAGGCTGGTAAGTCCTCAAATCAGGTTATTAAGTTGATTGAGGTCTTCTTCCCCTAGGCTAGCTATCCTGGATGGAAATTCACTCCCCCACACAACGGTTGGTTAAGTCCCTGGTTCCTGTTTTACTGTTAGTTGATGAGGTGCATCAGGTGAAAGGAAACTTGCCCCAAGGGTCATGAGAATCGAACCCGGGACCTTTCGGTTGTTCAAATGAAACACTGAAGCGGTGGTAGCATTGCCAAAAATGTTCTACTGTCCGGGATCCCATACAACAACATTCTACATATTTTGCAAATATTATAAATGATCCCAACTTTAGGGAGTATATACAGCTCTTCGTGTAGTCAAATTTGTTGTAAATTTGTTGTCATAGACTCGTAATGACATTGGAAATTCGGTGGGTTAGGGGGAATAGCACTGAGAGGCAATTAAGGGACATATGTTTTGATTTTAGAATATGAAAAGCCATTCTTGAATTAATGGAAAATCTCTGCACAGTCGCCAGTATCGTTACTTGTAACTGGGCAGTTCAAGCCCAACCTTTGCTATCTTTGTTTTAACTACTGTCTGATCGATTTTAGGTATTTTACCATTAATTTTATTTATTTATTTATATACAAGAAGGTACATTGGGTTTGTGAGAATACATAGCATAGTACAGTAATTACAATCTTGTAAAGCCACTAGTACGCGCAGCGTTTCGGGCAGGTCCTTAATCTAACAGATAATTTTAAGTAGGTAAATTCTATCAGAAATAATAAAAATGATAACAAATAGCAAGTTTATATCTATATATGACGTTTCCTGGATCCGACATAATCTAAGAGAACACGTCATGCAAATAAAGAGCCCAAGAAATAAAGCACTCCTCAGCCCATACTTTATTATAGGGGTGGGGAGGGGGGGGGGCTTCAGTATCCCTGAAGCCCTGAAAAGATATCTCTGAACCCCTGACAGGAGCATTAGGGCAAATTGGAGGTTAGGGGGGGAACCTTTGACAAGCCGCCGACTTCCTGTCCTTGTCGAGGCCACTAGTATTAGTGGTCCCTCAGGTAAATTCAGGTAAATTATGTGCCTTTTGTAACCCTGTCAATACACAGGATGGGTATGGAGTGCACATTAAATTAACTGCATTAAACTACGTTATTTAAAAAGTGAACATTGAAGTGCCCATAATTTCCTAGCTAATGTATCATATTGCACTAAAACGCTGAGTATAGTAATAATTAGAATTATAACGTACAATGAGTAATCTAGTGATCACTGTCTAAAGCAATATATTTATATATCTTAGAATACCCTAAAAAGTTTGAGACAGTAAAGAACATGGATATAAAAAACACACTAAAGAAAATGGAATCTTGCCCGACGAAAGTTATTGGATAACTAAAGTAAAAGTGAAAACACACGCAAGGCTGAAATTGGTTATTTTTTTTACAAACATATTCAACATTACAAAGATCAACAAAGGATTGTGTTAAACAAGAGTTGCTACAAATATATGTATTGACATAACCGAAGAAAACGGTAAAATATTGAAATATCTTTACAGGAAGTGGTAGTGGACCCCATACCCATCCCGTGGGTGGTAGTGGACCCCATACCCATCCCATGGGTGGTAGTGGACCCCATACCCATCCTGTAGGTGGTAGTGGACCCCATACCCATCCCGTGGGTGGTAGTGGACCCCATACCCATCCCGTGGGTGGTAGTGGACCCCATACCCATCCCGTGGGTGGTAGTGGACCCCATACCCATCCCGTGGGTGGTAGTGGACCCCATACCCATCCCGTGGGTGGTAGTGGACCCCATACCCATCCCGTGGGTGGTAGTGGACCCCATACCCATCCCGTGGGTGGTAGTGGACCCCATACCCATCCCGTGGGTGGTAGTGGACCCCATACCCATCCCGTGGGTGGTAGTGGACCCCATACCCATCCCGTGGGTGGTAGTGGACCCCATACCCATCCCGTGGGTGGTAGTGGACCCCATACCCATCCCGTGGGTGGTAGTGGACCCCATACCCATCCTGTGGGTGGCAGTGGACCCCATACCCATCCCGTGGGTGGTAGTGGACCCCATACCCATCCTGTGGGTGGTAGTGGACCCCATACCCATCCCGTGGGTGGTAGTGGACCCCATAATATACTGGACCTGTAGCAATATATCAATAAGACTATATACTGCATCAGTGTCGTAATATATGTGTTGTAACTATAGAGCTTAAGCTTGCAAGCTTAATCACCCTCTGTGGTTAAGTGCTTAATGACAAGTGCTTTGTCACTTCGGGAGAGTTATATAAAGCCAACCAAATTACTGATCAACCAGCTTGTATACCTTGGTTCTGTGTATTGTAAAGGACTAAAGAATACACTATATACACACACCTATACATAAGGTATGTGTATAAGGTGTTTGTATAGGTGTGTGTGTATATATACAAACACCTATACAAAGATTACACATATACACACACCTATACATATATACACCGAAAAGCGGTGTGTATATGTGACCTCATATCAATGAAGAGCTCTACATGAAGCATTTACACCAGTTGATTGACAGTTGCGAGGCGGGACCAAAGAGCCAGAGCTCAACCCCTGCAAGCACAACTAGGTGAGTGACTAGGGGAGTTCAGCGCCACCTGTCCAAACATGTTTTGAACGAGTGACGGTGATTGGCCGAGATTGGCTGAGAGGTTGACGTCACCACCACTGGCACTCGTCTATTGGCGTGCCAGGGAGAGGTGGCACTGACGTAGTTTGGTTATTATATTACATAACAGCCTAAGAATCAAACCACTGAAAAGCCTATTGACCATTGTCAGTCTCGCTTGAAGCCTGATTTTAATTATCGTCGAGATTTCTGAATCACTGATGAAAAATCCTGATTACTGGTCTTGGCGGCATTAATTATCATTCAGTCGCGGACAGGAAGCAGTTATAACAATCACCGGATAGTCAACACTGTAACGTGAGTAGTGAGGTTTAATATTTTCTTGAATGTTGGGAATTAGATTTTTGGGTATCCATGTTCGCCTCCTTCTTAAAGTCTCTTGCTTGGATTGTTTTGGTGGTGGGTGTGTGTTCTGGCCCCCCCCCCCTGTGTGTTCTGGCCCCCCTGTGTGTGTTCTGGCCCCCCTGTGTGTGTTCTGGCCCCCCCTGTGTGTTCTGGCCCCCCCCCCTGTGTGTGTTCTGGCCCCCCCTGTGTGTGTTCTGGGCCTCCCTATGTGTGTTCTGGCCCCCCTGTGTGTGTTCTGGCCCCCCTGTGTGTGTTCTGACCCCCTGTGTGTGTTCTGACCCCCCCTGTGTGTGTTCTGGCCCCCCTGTGTGTGTTCTGGCCCCCCTGTGTGTGTTCTGGCCCCCCTGTGTGTGTTCTGGCCCCCTGTGTGTGTTCTGGGCCTTCCTGTGTGTGTTCTGGCCCCCCCTGTGTGTGTTCTGGCCCCCTGTGTGTGTTCTGGCCCCCCTGTGTGTGTTCTGGCCCCCCTGTGTGTGTTCTGGGCCTCCCTGTGTGTGTTCTGGGCCTCCCTGTGTGTGTTCTGGCCCCCCTGTGTGTGTTCTGGTCCCCTGTGTGTGTTCTGGCCCCCCTGTGTGTGTTCTGGCCCCCCTGTGTGTGTTCTGGCCCGTCCTGTGTGTGTTCTGGCCCGTCCTGTGTGTGTTCTGTTGGCCCCCCTGTGTGTGTTCTGGCCCCCCTGAGTGTGTTCTGGTCCCCTGTGTGTGTTCTGGTCCCCCTGTGTGTGTTCTGGCCCCCCCCCTGTGTTTGTTCTGGCCCCCCCCCTGTGTGTGTTCTGGCCCCCCCTGTGTGTGTTCTGGCCCCCCCTGTGTGTGTTCTGGCCCCCCCTGTGTGTGTTCTGGGCCCCCCCTGTGTGTGTTCTGGCCCCCCTGTGTGTGTTCTGACCCCCCTGTGTGTGTTCTGGGCCCCCCTGTGTGTGTTCTGGCCCCCCTGTGTGTGTTCTGGCCCCCCTGTATGTGTTCTGGCCCCCCCTGTGTGTGTTCTGCCCCCCCCCCCCTGTGTGTGTTCTCCCCCCCCTGTGTGTGTTCTGGCCCCCCCCCCTGTGTGTTCTGGCCCCCCTGTGTCGTTGTTTTCTCCTCCCTACACTGACCCCCCCTCCCCCCCCACAAGACTATATAACCAGCAGATCGGTGTAAAAGTCAAAGAGAAGCGCGAGGCATTTGTCTTCCTCTTTCCCGTTTTCTTCGCCTGGAGAAGCTTCCTGTATCAGATACAACCACTCGGAGGCCAACAGTCAGTAGCAAGGGCCGCCACTCAGGGGCCAGACAATCAGTAACGGGGCCCGCCACTCAGGGGAGGCAACAATCAGTAGGGGGGCCAGACACCACCAAGGGCTCGGCCCCACTCCACAATTTCTCCACCATGGGCCCAACATCCATCAAACATTTTTCTCTCTTTATAGTCTCAGTCTGGGAGTTACTTCATAAATCTAGCGAGGACTCCAAAGTGGTTTGTGATGGAGTCATTTGTCTAGGTGAGCACGGCGTCTCCTAGGAGTATGGTAGCGTCTCCTAGGAGTAGTGGTAGCGTCTCCTAGCAGTATGGTAGCGTCTCCTAGGAGTATGGTAGCGTTTCCTAGGAGTATGGTAGAGGCTCCTAGCAGTAGTGGTAGCGTCTCCTAGCAGCAGTGGTAGCGTCTCCTAGCAGCAGTGGTAGCGTCTCTTAGGAGTATGGTAGCGTCTCCTAGGAGTATGGTAGAGGCTCCTAGCAGTAGTGGTAGCGTCTCCTAGCAGCAGTGGTAGCGTCTCCTAGCAGCAGTGGTAGCGTCTCCTAGCAGTAGTGGTAGCGTCTCCTAGCAGCAGTGGTAGCGTCTCCTAGCAGCAGTGGTAGCGTCTCCTAGCAGTATGGTAGCGTCTCCTAGCAGCAGTGGTAGCGTCTCCTAGCAGCAGTGGTAGCGTCTCCTAGCAGCAGTGGTAGCGT